GCAGGAGAAGGAAAGGGGAACCCGGGGTGTAGTGGGCAAGTCCCAGGCAGCTCGCAAGTAGGCTGGAGGATGGGTGAGTACTACAGAGTGAGGTGGGGGAGTGCTGCGACAAGTGTGGGTGGGCGGGGGGGGGGGTGCTGCAGTGCAATCATGCTACGGAACATGAGATCCCTGGGATCTCATGCTCTGTAAGGGGCTCCTTGGGAGAAAAAGCAACAGGAATGACTTGCAACCTTCCTTGCTGGCTTCCCCACTGAATTTTCTTGTGGGAAGCCGGCAGGGAAGGTCGCAAATGGTGATCATGTCACTGCGGGATGCTGCAACTGTTGTGTAAGCTGGTTGCCAAGTGCCCGGATTGCGATCATGTGACTGCAGGGCTGCTGCAACGGTTGGAACTTTGAGGACCAGTCGTAAGTACCACTCATTCAGTGCCATCACAACTTTGAACAGTCGCTGAAAGAGTGGTTGTTAACTGAGGATTGCCTGTATTGTGCTCCTCCCTCAGTTTCTTACACTTTGCTTGTGTAACTCACCACTTTCATGAGATAGATGTTAAGTGAAAAATTTGGGTATTCTTGGAAGTTCCTGATGGTTGTTGTCTGAATGGACTCTCCTCCACACTCTATGATGAGGCTAGGATTGTTGACAACCATCAGATTGTAATTCTTCATGTCTCGAAGACCCCAGGCAAGAATCTGTGGGGAAGTTGGAGGAAGTAGCCAGCTGATTTTGTACTGAATATTCCACCAGTTGGGTATAAGGTCTCTCTCTCTCTCTCTTTCTAAGCTGGTCTCAATTCCTGATAACTTCATGGACGCTTCTATATAGCTTTCTTGGCCACAATATGGAAGTGGTTTCGCCACGGTTCCCACTTGAGATATTTCTTAGGATTCCCAGTCTTGGGATTCCTGATGGTTTCTAGCAGTGTATGTACAGCAGACCAAGTCTGGCATGCAGACACACACACACGCACCAGAGATTCCTGAAATGCATACTTTTATTTTGCTGAATGACTGATTCTCCCATGTCCCATTGAACAGGTCTCGCCTTCATCGTTTCCCCACTTTTCATACTGATTTATTACACATATTTCTTGATTCCTTAATGCAAGACTAAGGCTTAAGCTGGGTTCAAGCGCTTAGTGTCACCACACACACATGGAGCTACAAATCAATAGATGTGAGAAAGAGATGAAAGCTCTCATATGAACTGGTTGAGATGATGAACTGAAAGGGGAAAAGTACCAGGAGGTGTGATAAAAGAATCAGGATGGGATTAGACAAGCCTGGTTGAAAGTTATACAAGTTGATGGGAAGTGCAGAACGTCAGTGCATTGCATAAAATGAGGTATATGCATAGTTGCGTGGAAGGCATTCTTGCCTCAGTTCTTCGGGAACTGAAAACCTAGCTTGGCCACTAGGCTTTAAGTTGGAAAGATTTTGCTGAGAAAATCTTTTAATTCAGAAAAAGAACAGTTAAAGATGAAAACCTGTCTTTGTTCCTCAACATCCTGGAGAAATTGTAATGTGTTTGGTTGAGTTTTTGGAGTTAGTTGGAGATGGTATAGCACAGTGTTTCTCAGTCTTGGCAGCTTGAAGGTGTGTGGACTTCAGGTCCCAGAATTCCCCAGCCAGCTTGCTGGCTGGGGAATTCTGGGAGCTGAAGTCTACACATCTTCAAGGTGCCAAGGTTGAGAAACACTGGTATAGCATAATCTTTGACTGTAGATTTGTTAATTGCTAATTAATTAATTAATTAATTGTTAATTGAAAAATGACTTGTCTGTCTCACATGTAATCTGCAGAACCACCCTGTCTTTCTCCCTTCCTCCTCCCCCCCCAACTCAATGTATTTAAATCCTCCATCAGTTAAGCCGTTCCATGCATCGGATGGAGTGAGATGCCGTTCACAAAAGCACATGGCTTTTAATAAAATCTGTTAGTCGGAAAAGGGGCTACCAGAATTTTATGGTCCGTTACAAGAATGGATGGAGAGTATCTCAATTCAGCAATAGGAAAAGACGCTATTAGAGCCTACAAAATATCGGTGCTTGGTGAAGGGCCAGTGGGGAAAGATCATGAGATCCCAGCCCCCAGATCATCCATGTTGCTGCTTTGCTTTGTTCAGTTTCTCCAAAGCTTCCTTCATATGTGAGGCCTGTAACTCACAGTGGGGTTTCGCCAGTGGGAGAACTTCACTGGATGGAGCCAGGTTGGTTGGGCCTGTCACCTTTCCTCCATTCCCAAGATACCTGTGGACAAATTTCTTGGTCTGGTTCTCACCTCCACAGCCATCAGTCGCAAAATGGGTCGGATTCCTTTGGGGATTGTATAAAGACCATCTTTCCAAGCAGGAGGTGGATGTTTTCCCAGGGATCCATCCTGGAGGAAAACAAGGGAGACCTTTCTGAAGTTGGGTACAACGGCTTTCAAATGAGAGCGCTAGAAACATGAAACATCCTCCTGAGATATTCACACCATGCGGATCAGTAACAGCTAGCAAAGTTGCAGATTTTCAGACTCAGGGGCATACAGCCCTGGCAGAATCTTTCTTAGTTGCTTTCCATTCAGTTGCAAATAATAAAATAAAAACAAAACAAAATAAAATCTGGTTTGTCTAAATAAAAAATATACTGCGTTGTGTATTTTTTTTACTTTAATTTATTTGCAAAAGATTCTGAATGAACCCCCCCCCCTCCCAAAAGAGGTTTAAAAAACATCAAGGAACCTGAAAAAGACTTTGCGGAACCTGGAATATCCATATCCATATACACAAAAGTGTCCAGTATGTGTGTGTGTCAAAAAAACATCAAGATGACAGTTGTGACTTATCAAAACCTTTTATGTGCATTGTGTGATGCTGGTGAGGAAGAGTTGTTTGGAGTTGGGTGGCATCAAAATCAATCAATCAATAAAAACATATTAATAAAGAACGTGAAAAAGGGGTGGGGCTTCAGTTGCACATTTACAGCCACCATCCTGACATTTTAGATCTTCTTCCCCCTGCCCCCATGGACACCCTTATATATACATATTTCTTTCATCTGAGTGAACCTCTGGTCCAGGAAGCAGGTGATGCAAATTTAATATAAACCAAAGGAAAATATGTACAAAACCTCACTGACCGAAGCAAAAAATGCACAGAAGAATGGCTTCTCCCCAACCTTAGAAAATGCTCTATATGTAAGGGAAGGTTAGGCAGTCCTTGTTCCCAGCACTTGCTCTGAAGCTTTAAAAACACCCTGAGATTGCATTGCTAAATGTAGCAGCAAAGTGCATGAATTTCAGTAAGATGGTTTTCAAATTTTTAAAAGATTATGCTATGGGAAGAACCTATCCCTTAGGTATAAGACACGCCCATTTCTTTCCTACACGATGAGGAACTGGGGCAAACCTTTTGGTCCCACCACTTCTAGTGATATCTCTGCATCACCAGAAGGCCTCTGTGGATGGTTGGAGGCTTTGCTATAGCACCTGACCTGGAGAAGATCCCTCAGTTCCATGACCACATCCCCTTCCTTCTTTTACAGAACTCCCAGAGTTTCCTGAGAAAAAGGAGAAATCCATCGCTCCCTTTGACAATGTGGTGCGGAGTACTTGTGACAGTTCATCCAGGGTCTTCAAAAACCTGGAATGAGGCCTCATTTTGTTGCTATTTTACCTTCTTGTCCAAGAGAAGCTCAAAAGCAGCTAGGAGGTAACCATTCTCCTCTTCCCCTTCGGTGATAGAATACCTCTGGAGACGGGGTATCGTTCGTAAATCGAGATCCAGGCACACATTTGGAATACATATGCATCTTCCCATAAAATCATCATATTGGCCCTATCAGAAAGAGGTGATGCAAAGCAAATATTGCCCAACAGTGTGAACAAAGTGGTCCCCAGACCAAGAGCAACAAAGATGCATCTGGGTGTCTGGTAAGATAACACAACAAACAACAACCAGATGCAGAAGACATTTAAGGCATGTTTAAGAGTTCCTACTGTATGTGTGCTTGATGGCATTTCCGGAGGCACATCTTGAGATGATAAGAACTAGTGGGTGGTAGTGTTGAAGATTTTGGAATAAGACTGAGGAGACTCAGGTTTACGTCTCGACTCAGCCAAGGAAACTCTTGAGTAATTTTGGGCCATCTTACCTCATAGGGTTGTTCTTGTATGAATAAAATAAAGGGAGATCCCCAAGTAGCTGGCTTGAGATCCAGAGGACAGGTGGGACAGAAATCTAAGAAATTGTAAAAAGAATGTGGAGCTAACCTGATGAAACAATGGATGAGTAGTTAAGGGAAAAATGACACCTTGGAAAGTGGAAGGCATGAGAAAGAAACTGAAAATAATGCCACCTTGATTTTGTTAATTATAAGAAGGGGCAGAGAGAAACTCTGAGAAGCTTTCAAGATTCTGTAACCATACTGTATCCTATAAGTGTTTTTCAAATTTGGCAACTTTGAGATGTTTGGACTTCAACTCCCTGGGATCTTAAAGTTGCCAAGTTTGAAAAACACTGCCCTATAATAATAAAATAGCATTCCTAGAATCCTGGCAGTGTCTCTTTCCTGACCTGGCCTACCTCAAAAGATTGACAGAAATAAATAAGCAAAATTCAGTATCTAAAAGGTTTATACCGCCCCCCCCCCCAACCCTACACAGCGTAACTCTGGACAGCTCTCAACCACATACAAAAATAACAAATGACAAAACATTAAAACCATTTCATACCACCAAGGCTTCATAACATTCCTATCCCAAATATATATGTGCTGGGCTCAACTCCCATCCTGGCCCAATGCCTGCAGGAAGAGCCAAGTCTTAATGGTTTTCCAGAAGGCCAGGAGGGAAGGGGGCCTCTGGATCTCAGGGGGGAGGATGTTCCATAGGGCAGGCACTGGATGGAGAAAGCCTGCCTCCTAGGTCCCACAAGATGACAGCGTTTAATAGAAGGGATCTGGAGTGCACCCACCCAATCTGATCTGATGGGACAGGCAGGTATCCTCAGGACTCAAACATTCTGGCCTCTACTTGGCAAAACTAAGAAGTCACTTGAATTGATTTTTTCCCCTCTGGGACATTATTTTCCCATGAAACAAAGAAATACATTTATCTAACCTAGATAACTCTGTCTATGTGAATTGAAAAGGACACTTGTCCTTATCCTGTTATTAGGATTACAATGTATTTCATATCGGGCCCTCTAGGATAACAATCCCACCCACATGGCTTACAAACTACATCAACACTCATAAAAGCAGGATAATTTTAAAGCAAACAAACAAAGCTGGCATCTTTTTCATGGGGCAGTTCACAGTTATGGCCTTTTTGGTGGACAAAGAGAAAAGTGATTTGGGGGTTGACCCTGTATGGAAACATGAGTACCTTGGAGCTTTTAGACAACAGCAAAGGGGTGGGTAGAATGAGAGGAGAAATAAAGGAAATTCTACAAAATCTAGGCATCAATTCGCAGTAAGTTAAAGATGTGTGGAAAAAAAGCTAGCCCTTCTTCATGTGAATTACATGGATAAGATATACCACAGAGGCTTCAGTGAGACCAAACATGTTCATGATGCCTCTAAGTTCAGAGACAATCAAACCCTGTATAAAATTGACTCAGGCTTATTTTAAACAGGATGGTTGGATGACACAGCTCTCACTGTCCAGGTTCATACTCTGATACTCTCAAGATAGGTGGAACAATAGGAGAAATCAGCAGACATGATGTCTGAGTTTCCTGGAGAGCCATTATCGTAAGTCAATACAGCACAATGACAAAATAGTAAAGACTGAATCTCAATGGGGCCAGGAAGCTGTGACCTATTCTGATTGCTCACTTTCTGTTCTGGTGAAAGCAGTGAAAAGTCCCACATACGTACACTTGAATCATAGTCAAAGATCTCCACTGCCACAATGGGGGGGTCCTGCTCAGTCCCTTGAGGATCTCCATAAATCAAAACGTCTTCAAAGAGAAGGGTCTCGTCCCAGCATGGGTGCAGCGTGCCATTGATAACGTGGGTGTGGTGGCTCACATGAAGGAAAGAGACATGAGCCAAAGGATCTGTCCAAGAAAAAAAACTTCACTTCACTTCACTTCACTTCACTTCACTTCACTTCACTTCACTTCACTTCACTTCACTTCACTTCACTTCACTTC